CCACATATGTTATGTATATGACATGCTTAATATTTTGTATCAGATTCGCTTTTAACTCAAAACTAATGGACCATTAAATTTATAGTTTTAATTTATGGCTTGAATTAACTACATCAAGTAGAAAACTGTTCTTTTGTGTAACTTTGATAATGATTATTACAATGAAGATTACAGTGCTGATGATTATAATAATTATAACGTTGTAAATAAATATTAGTCCACAACAATGATTAACTTCAAGCCGCATTGTAAATGGGAATAATGCAGCAAATAACGAATAGGCCTGTGCCTGTACCACGCTCAGAGTTCATCCCAGCTTGTCATCACCACGCCTACACCAACATTAACATTTTGAGGGACCATCTTAATGTTCAGTATATTATTTCTTCCGTCCGCCTGAGCACATCGAACTAACATTATTGTTTTAAACGTTTGTCAAATGTTTCCTTCTGCTTAACTCGTTCGGATATGAGAGTTGATTAATGATGTATAATATCACTAATAACTTGCAGAAATTACAGTTTGTTGTTATTGTTTTGTTCTTTATTTAAGTCGTTAATTAAACAACTCCTAAACTACGCTCGCCAATTTGTCTCCGAAGTATTTTTTGGGTACACCGCTCGCAGATAAACATCCTCTTCCGATCCCCAAACCAGATGGTTTAGTTTATCAGCATCGGAGCTTCGTATCCACCAATCGCAACGCGTATACCAGTATCTTGCTATGCGACAGGTCGTGCTTAATGCCTTTCGCAGCCGCTGTGAGCAGCTACTCGCCAATCTTGACAAGCCATTAGGAATTTTCTCTGACCCGCATTCGCTGTGTCCGCTGCAATATTATCCGTACTCGTCTTGTCTTACCAACTATGGATTCCCAAATTGAGAACGTCGACACGGAATTGGAAACCACGATAAATACTGGGGAGTCGGATATCAATAGTGGCCATCAGAACCATGGGCTGCCCCACAACTCAGTTTCTTTACTAAACAATGTAGACAACAGTCGGCCGTCAACAATCGTCGGATCCTTCACGGACGAGGATGTTAAAGCTTCGCTTGTCAGTTTTTCTCCGGAGCAGGTCGTCTGTGTTTGCGAGGCGCTCCGTCAAGAAGGCAATGTCGATCGTCTAGCCCGTTTCTTATTTTCTCTCCCTGCCGACAATGCACTACAGCGACATGAACTGGTCCTCAGGGCCCGTGCATTCGTGGCTTTTAGACAAAGTCGATACAAAGAGTTGTACACCATATTGCAGAGCTTCCACTTCAGCCCGGCCCTTCATGTTGAACTGCAAGATTTATGGTATCGGGCGCACTACAAAGAGGCCGAGGTGGCCAGGGGACGGGCGTTGGGGGCTGTTGACAAGTACCGAATTCGGCGCAAATATCCCCTACCCCGAACCATCTGGGACGGGGAGGAAACTGTATATTGCTTCAAAGAGAAATCGAGGGCCATGTTAAAGGATTGTTACAAACAAAACAAGTATCCGTCCCCAGATGAAAAGAGGAATTTAGCGAAACTGACGGGTCTTACTTTGACCCAGGTCAGTAACTGGTTTAAAAACCGTCGCCAACGAGACAGAGCCCCGTCAAGAAGGTAACCAATTTGTTTATAAATATTTTAATATTGAATAAACAGTTATTTTATAGAAAGCCCACTCATTTTTTTTTCATATTGATGTTATGGGTCATTGTATAAACTAAAAATACTAAAAATAGATGAGACGTTTTATCTTGTCTGATAATAAATAATATTGTGGTGACATTAAAAAGTAAGTTTTTTTTGACAGTCAGTTAAGCTTTCGAACACAAGTTTTCGGGTGAAAGTTTATAAGCTGTTTTATATCGTTTGGTATTGTGGTCATCCGCCCTTTGATTTAAACACAATTAAGCACCTACCTTCTGTCTTTGTATTGCGACTTTGGATTGGGAATCAATCGGAAGTTATAGCGCATTAGTGAACTGCAATCGTTATTTACACAGTTTAATATTTCTATTCGTACGGTAAGCATGCCACCATGGTTTAAAGTCAGGCTCCGGAGGAAAAAAAAATTGATATGTTGTAGAACTGATTTTTCTAAGACGGAAAAAAGTTGTTTGACGAAAAACTGGGGAACGGTGAGTGAGATACAGATTTTTTAATATTTAAAAACTGGGGGAAAAAGGGGCGTAACTGCCCATTTTCACACCTTATTCCCTCAGTTTTTAAATATTTAAAAATCTGTATCTCATTCACCGTTCCCCAGTTTTTCGTCAAACAACTTTTTTCTGTCTTAGAAAAATCAGTTTTACAACATATAAAATTTTTTTTTTCCTCCGGAGCCTGACTTTAACGCATAGTTTTTAACGCCTGTTTAAAATGAAAGTACAGAGAATAAAATCAATTTGTAACAGGGCAGGATATGTTTATAGCTCAGCTGTATTGCTAATATCAAAACATGTTGATTTTTTTTTTCAAGTTCTAACATCGTCTACATCCTACAATATTTCCTGTCTCCATAAAATCCGATTGTTGATTCTGGCGTTAGATTTAGTTAGATAGCACGCCGGTGGTTTCTTTCTTGTGCCTCCGCAGTCTCCCGATTGAAGTTATCAATACAATACACGACACAGCGGGTGTACCGGTCGCCTAATTAAGAGGCATAAACTTTATCATTTTATCAACAAAAGAATCAATTATTGTAATACGAACCACACTACATGTCATGTAATAAATTTTAATTTTTGGTTAAAGATTTTTAAATCATCACTATTCACCTTTTTTTTATTACCTGTGTTGTGCATCCTCTTATATTTCAATATTCAGTGTTAATATTAATTTGTATGAGTGTACGTACATACGGCCTATGTTATATATGAAAACTTGTATTATAATGTGGCCTAGTTATCACACAAAATATTTCAGCAAGTTAATAAAGAAACATGAAGTTTTTACCATCAATTAATCTAAACTTAAAGCATCATTGTCATTTAGTGTCAACAGGGAGTTGTTATTGTGACTGGTGGTAGAATTTTGGTTCTGTCGTCAGCGTTGCTCACAATAAATCACGATATCCTCTTTACACGTACTTGCCTCCTCCCTCATATGCCAAACTTCTGATTAGGCCCCATAAAAAGAAATTAAATTATCACCATTTGAAAGGTGAGAAGACCGCGATCTTTACGATGGCCAATATTAGTAAAAATCCGAGTAAATTTTGAATTAAACTGTACACGTTGTCTATTATTCACTGTATATGCATTTTAACACAATAGAAATAAAACGCTTTCGTTTGATGTCAATACATGGATGGTGAAATCAATGGAGGACTAAATTAATTCCTCCATGGTGAAATTGACTAGACAAGACATTAGATTGGAAGCAAACGTTCCTGCTTTTCAACTTTCTGGGTATGGATTCTGATAAAAGTGATGCGAATAGAGATTTTATATTAAATCTAATATTTTTGTGGGCTGTTAACCTTTACTGTATGTATATAAAAGTATTTCGATATTTAACAGATTAAACAAACAATTAATTTATTTAAAAAAAAATATTTATGAGATTTCGTTCACCCATTGAACTTCTTCAGGTGGCTGAACATAAATAATTTCTTGCTCTGGTTTGACAGATTTTTTTTGTCATCATTAACATTAATGTTATCATAATTATGTTCATCTTCATCTTAATAAATAATAAATGGCCACGGATCACTAATTCATGACAACATGAGATGTGGTTGTGTGTTTATTTGTGGTTTGTGTTAGGCGTGGTTAGGTCTAGGCCTAGATGAATTTTAAAATACTGTATAAACAAAATTAACCTGCCCAACCAGATAAACTACGACGAACAACAATATTAATAATTAAAAAATAACGATGACAATATTGTATAAAAAAAATGTTTTAATAATAATAATGGTGTTTCACTAATAATAATGATAAATGCATTAATATTGACATCAAATCCATTATTAGCAATCCAACTTACTGGCTGTAAAATCTGTAGATCAAAAAATGTCCAATTAAACGCCTTCAAATTGGAACCAGCTGTTGTTGATGTCGCTTGGTTTTTAACTTGGTGATAAATCGCATCTAGGACCATATTGCACTTTCACCCATAATTTAGCGACCAATCAATCACCACAGCCAATGAGGCGCTTTTGGACGCTGGATTAATTTGCAAAACATTACTCCAATTTGTATGAAAATCATAAAAGTATTATCCTCGTATTAAATGTATATTATATTTTATTAGGTCCGTTGTAGCTTTAATAAAAATAGCCATGTACTATAAGTACTACAGCAGACCGGGTGCGAAGGACATTTCCTTCGGCGTGTGTGGTACTGTACGGTTGGACCAATCATGGGAGCGATCGAGTTGACATTGATGACGAACGCATTTTGATAAGGTGACGCGACGCGTATTACGATCTTTTTTTCTTTTTTTCTTTTTTTTTTTTAGGTAGGGCCTATATAATATCAGATAATCTTATTTAAGAAAACTGAGAAAAAATCTCCCCAAAATCAAAATTAAGGGAAAGCCAGAGATGGAATAAATACAGCTAGTAACTGATTCCATGTTTATGGATACTACACAACACATCACTAGTAGAATTCCCAATGGTACAGTACAGTAACCAGATGACGATATAATAGTACATTAAACAGCGAGTGACCGCTTTTCATTTCAATCTGACCTGCTCCTTGATTTAGATTAGTTTTTAGCTCTCAAAATAAACGAGATTTTTCTTTAGGTCACTACTGCATCAACATTCAGCATCATGTGTAGAATTGCTCGTTTAGATTTTTTGACCTTATGACATTCGACCCTTGAAGGTTTCTGTGTTACTAGAGTGTAATACAGGTACAGGCAGGTGGAGTAAGAAGGTTTTTTTTTTTTTGATGGCGATGGGTTATCTTCAAACAATAGTGCCGTAATTAATATAGGCCTAAACTAGCGTGCGAAGTGATTTTTACTATCGTTATACCGGGTTTATTGGCCCCGAGCGACCATCCGGGGTTCTCCAATATTTAAAGGAATTGTTAAAGGGCATTTTAATCCGTTATTCGCCCAGGGTGTACATTTTATGTTAAAATGTACTGTTTTGAATTTAAATTTTCTTCTTTTTTGAATTATAGCAGACAGTGCATCTTTAACAATAATATACGATTCCAAGTACTGATATATCTTTTAAATACCATTATTATACCAATCAATTTCATAAGATTCATGAATCTATAATTGTACGTACAGGTATAACCTTGGGGATAGTGCTGATTCTTTCATCAATGCTATAACAAATTCACATTACAATACTATATAAAAAGCTCATTTCACTCGTAAATATAAAATTAATCTACATTGTTTTCTTTCTTTTCTTTTGTTGTTTTTTTTTTTTTTTTATTTTCGATTGCCACCACTTCTTTCTTTTGACCCCAGCTATTCTCGCACATGGATAGATAAGTTGGAAACCCAGATAAGTTGCCCATGGCTATCGTGGTACAGTAATTGCCAATAATCCTAGTTATTTAAATGCTTTTATTTATACAGTATATACACATGGCCAGATGTTATGTATGCCATATTTACATGCGCTTTTAAACAGTTCTATAATTATTTGTTATGCTTAATTAAGCAACGTAATCGTAGTTTAGGTCTATGTATTATTATTTGAAGTTCGTTTATTTCACAAAGTTTGTAAAATGTGTCAATTGGCAATGTGCTATTTCTTATCTTTGTTTATTCGTACATTTACCGGACGAACATAACAATTGACGTCTCCTCACGAGTTGCCATGGTACCCCAATAAACATAACCTATGACATGTGGTGACACGGTGACCCGCATCCGGTGACCCGCTAGCACCCGTTCCATTTAATATTATAGCTATTTTTATCAAAATGAAAATTTATAACCCAAATTGTAGTACTAGTTGATAATAATTAAAAATACCAATAGTTAAATAATTAAAATATTATTGTGATGATGACGACGACGATTATGATATACTGTAAATCATTTAATATACAATATGATTATTTGTTGGCATTTAGATATGATTGTTTACATCTATACAAGTTCATAGTAGAATATGTTACAGAATATGATTTGACCATATATGATATTGATTACCGGGTTCTTAAAAAATAGAAATTTAGAAATCGTTCAGCCCTGAGGCTTAAATCTGCCGGCCTTGAAAAAATGACATTCTTTTGCGCAACGGCATGCTTGTCCTATCCGAATTTGATGTTCGGTCCATTCGAATTAACGAGGTTAGCTACCTTTAAGACGTGTCATTAACCCTGGGAAATTATACACAGATTTGCGCTGATATTATATCTAATACTCAGTACAGGTTTTTATACTACTAGCGTTATGAAATTTAACATCCATCAAATGTTTCTTAAACAGTCTAACAGTGTAAAATCGAAGTTATTGTATCATCATCAACACCTTGCATAATTTTTTATTTACTGATGTCATAATTTTTTTTTAATTAAAAAATTCGCATATACAAGGACAATTAACCGGTACATAATAATAAATGGCAATAATTCAAGTACAGGTATGTTTCCATGATTGAATCATGCGTATCCATTTAAAATTTTACGAGTATTTTATATAGGACCTTTTCGTTGCAGTTACGATACGCTCGAAAGACCCATGGAAATTCTAGCCCCTAGGGTTTTATCGTTTCTGCCGGATCCAGACAACGCATAGCCTACACACCTAGTCTATAACAAAATAAATTTAATAAAATAAACTTTGTTGAAAAAATGACTAATAATGGTTAAGCCTGTTATTACTATATTGTGGTTGATGTTATGTAGACCTACGTCAATATTTGTTTATTTACGTAGTAATAAAAATTGTTATTCTTGTCATATTTCTGAAGGTGTGGGTTTTTATGTAGAGTCATGAAGAATGCTGATTGGCACTTGTTCTTGTCTTTGGATTATGCGATGAGATTGTCCATAGATGGTTGGTGATAATGGCTCGTCATATATTAAATCGGGACACACTCGCTTCAATTAAAATGAATAACGGTTTGAAAATACCAGGTTGTTCCGATAATTGCTATTTGAAGCCTAATTGAAGTGCATTGGGAACTTAAGATTAGAAAGGGAGTGCTGTTTTGTCGGTGTGTGGAACGATAATCCAGTGTGCGTGTCCAAGATGAAGAAGAGTACAATAATGAATAATTAATTCTCAGTCACAACGTTACGTTATAATAACGTTACAATTTGGTATTCAAAACGGTTTTTTTTAAAAAAATGCGTATTTTTTTAACGTAAATGTATTCATATATTTTTCCGAGTTTTATGTTGACTACTGTATTTGGAGGTTTGAGAATCAGTCGATAGTCTATTGAATTTAACTCTTTGCTTCCTCTCTCTACCTCCCAAAAAAAAAAATGCACATTTATTTTTCATATTTAAGTTTGTGTTACAGAGACGAAATACTGTAAATGAATTGGAAATATTTGCAAACGTTGCTGAACGTGTCGACGTTATTGAACCATGGAATAAATGTTACAAATAGCGATGTGTGTTTGCTAGGTTTTGTCTTCTGGTGGCCGTGAATACACTTCTATCTAATAGGGGCCTATATAGACCAATTCATTAATTGATTTTTTACATGGATATGTTGTACTGCCAAGTCCAACATTCTTAAAGTCAGGCTCTGCGGAGGGAAAAATGTTTGGTATGTACAACTGATTTTTAAGACACAAAAAGCATACCGGTATTTGACAACAAAAAAAAAACTCGGGAATGGTTAATGAGATACAGATTTTTGAATATCTATCTCATTAACCGTTACCGATTTTTTTCGTCAATATGCTGTTTGTGTCTTAGAAAAAGCAGTTGTACAACATTTCAAAATATTGTTTCTCCGGAGCCCGACTATAAATAAAAGGCCACGTAACCAAAGGTTTGTTACCTCCAACTCTTTGTTTGGGACATGATAACAGACTGTACTGAAAACAGTACAGTATGTAATTATGCTATACAGTACCGCACAGTATATGTTATTGAAAATGACGATAAAGTTTAGGTCTATGTTTAACGTAATAGGCAGTTTTCGCCGCACAACGTTAACCTTAACGTTAACGGATGACGTCATAATTTATTAATCTTGCGTTGCGGAGTACGTTAATTTCAGGATTTTACGTGCTCGACGTACGTTAGTTACGGGTTTGCGCATGCGTATTTCGATTTGTTTACAATAGGGCGGAGCTACCGCACTGCATGTTGGGTACTAACGTCAAAGTTAAGGTTAACGTCGTGCGGCGAAAACTACCTATTATGACGTATGAAAACCGTAAACGTATTTAAATGAATTTTCTAAATAACCCAATGTATATATTTTTTTTTTGTTTCTATAGTGAGATTGAACACAATATGAACAATATGGAATCTCCGGAAATTAGTCCTGAATCAAAATTCATACCAGGGAACAATGGACTTGCCAGTCCAGCAATGGATGTTGGCGGCTCGCACTCTGTCATCACCTTAGCCAACAAGGAGAGTAAACTTACTGTAGTCAAAACTGAATTTGACTCGGACTCACCAGATGAGGTGTGGCAAAACATTGGCAATAACAAACATCCAAACGAGCAGGTGACCTCACCGATCTTCCCGGTCGCTGTTGTAGCAAGCGACAATGGAGCGTTCTTCCAGAATTCTGGCCTTTTTATGAATCCGTCCATACTCGGTTCAGCTCTGGCGTTTTCCTCGATGAACACTTCTGCAGCGCAGGCGTTCATGTCAACAATGGCTAACGCCGCTTTCGCAAATACATCGTTTCCGATACCAGCTACACCAAGCTCGTCGAACATTTCTCAAACTTCCGGTCTTCTTCCCGTATCGATTTCTGCCGCCATTCCTGCGAATTCAGCGACAGTCGGCAATGGTGGATCACACGCGCCGTTACATAATGGCAGCAACGCGACGCTCACGACACTCACGACTGTAACGCCACTTCTGACGTCTGCTGCCGTAAGCTCGATCTCGCCAATTTCGCACACTACCGATGCTTTGCCAACAATATCCACCTTGACTATGCCACAACCGATGCCAGTGTCGGCTAGTTCGATAGTATCGCAGTAGTACCAAAGATAATAAGAACAGGTGCCGGTTCACCTGATTTATCAGTAAATATATTATTACCGTACTTCTTTTAATGGTTGTCTGCTTGTAAGAATGTCTACTTAAAGTCGTCGAGTAAGCTACGTCTTCACAGCCAACAGAATATGAATGCGAGGAAAGAGCTCAGGATGTTGTCATTTTCAACAGGCATTATGATCATCAAAATCGTCACGGGCACATATAGAACAACCATTTTAATGTGTATTAGTCAGCAAAAACCAACATTAACGTTTGTTGCTAGTATGACTCTATCCATAATTAAACTAACATTACAGCTGCATCGATTACACTAACTGCTCTAGACTTATTTTATCACAAGTAGTCATAATGTTTGCAGAAAAATAGCAACTTTTGTGTACAGTATTTATCGCGATGACGTCTTCAAAATATTGCAGTCGTTGGCGGATTTTTATATAGATTTTACTCTAGTTATTTTTCTACTGAATTAGGTCCAATAACTGTTTATCGTTATATTTTATGAGTGTATTGATTATGTGCATTTATAAAATGAATATAGATTAGATATTTTATGCAATACTTAGAAACATTCCAATATCGTCTATGGCATCGGTTTCAGAGAGAAGTAATTGTATGGAAGTCTCGCTTTGCACAAAATGTTCATGTCAATGAGTGTGCGCAGTAGATATCGCTGTTGATGGAGTACGGTACTGAGGGTAATAAGATGTTGGTTGGTTTGTTCAGTCGACCTGGTTCGGTTTAAAGACTGGGCACTAAATATAAGAACATGTGGCTGTACTTATTGCTGTTCCGGAAATGGGAAAAATAGAGCCATTTTATTGTTTCTTAATCCCCTGCACTGACTGGACGATGGGCTGATCTGTTTGCAAAGATTAGGCCTAAACTACTAATATTTAATGTGTTATGTTAACGCATTTTGTCAGCATTTGTTTATATTGTAATATTTGTCTAGATTTTCATTTATGAATCATAAGCAGGGCTTCATTGGTCACGTGGATAATGGAGAGTTCGTAGGATATTTAAAAGGCAATGGCTATTGTTGTTACACCAGTCTTAAACGAATTCAATGTATGGATTGTCCTAAAAAAACAATAACATGTAAATTTAATAAATGAGGCCTGAAAAACTATAAAAACGCCATTAATGCCATAACGTTGTGAATATAGAAATTCATAGCCAAATTTAATATTTTGTTTAATATCGATAACCGAATTTATTATTATAGAATATATATGTAACATGATGAAACAGGTTTTTATGTACTTAATCGCCTTCGATATTAGCTTTACTATTTTGTTGTCTCCTTAGCTTGTTATTTCTGGTATTTTGTTTTATGGCCAAACAGTTTAGATTTTAGATAGATAAATAAATGTAATGTGAGTTCTCATTTGACAGATCTACTTACTTTAAAGCCAAATACTGTATAATAATGCACAATTTTCATGCAATCAATTTTATAAATTGAATATATTTGTCTAAAGATATTACACAATGCCAATTGATTAATAGGCGACTAAGTATTATACTTTGAGATCGAATGATCTATTTACCACGGTTTCGTGTATACAGCCCCATGGTGGGCTGACACTTAGCTATCGTCTCACTTTGTGAGTTGTAAGAGTAAATCCGGTTGGAGGAATTTTGGGATGAGTCAGAAACTAAAAATAAAAATGAACAGTCTTCCAACTGAAGATAAGAGCTGTCCTAGAAAGAAGTCAACAATCTGTTACTTGTACAGTTATTCAAGTGAATTGCCAACATAGAAAACGTGGATGGGTTATGAGTTCAAAGTAGCCACGTCAAGACGTAGCCACTTGGTCCCGCTGGGTGCTTATTTTTAAGCAATGGTGTTATTATGTTTTTTGAATCAGGGAGCAGTCATGTAGTCAAAGTGCCTCTCCGAAGAAAAAATGAGAAAGTTTTTAAAGTGTTACATTTATAGCAAGCTACATTTGTATAATTGCCAGGCGCGCGTATACCTGAATTGTTAAATATGAAAAGGCCTTCAAATATTCAAATGCTTTTGCGTTAAATCATATGTCGCTCTAAATTGCACACTATGTATGTTTGTACAGATATTAGTGTCCGGTATGCTACTTGACGAGGTGCTTAAAGCCCGGTTTCCATAAAATCGCTACAATGTGTTTACACTGCGACACGCGTACTGTCCCCGATTCGGCCGACCAATCAAGCGTCGCCGATAACAGTCAACGATAGCGTGTAGCGATTTTATGTAAACCTGGCTATTACCGCGAATTTATGCTAAATTTGTGCTTCATGTTTTATAGGCCATTTTTAATTTAACTATTTTTAGTCTATTCCGATGTGTTGATCATAGACCGTCCATATAGTTATATCTACATATTTAGTAATACAGTATTAAAACTATCATGATGCTCAAGGGTTTAAAAAAATTAATATCGAGGGTAGTGATAGTATTTTTAAAATTTTAATTACCTGGATTCGAATTTTTGATTAATAAAGACATTTAAAAATATAAGAAAAGTGGTCATGAAACCATGTTAACTCTGGTTGGTTAAAATATATGACATGTAAATATAGTGTGTTTTGTAGAAAAATAAAATGTTTAAAATCAAATTCCGACACGAATTACCTTCACTTTTTTAGCTATAGCACGTATATATTCTGAATCGATTTGAAATTCTGTTTTTGATTTTTTTTTTTAATCACAAAAAATAAACATTTTTTTTTTCAATTAGGCCTATAATGATGATCAAAACATGCCGACGAGAATCTGTTGGACAACTAAATATGAATTATCAAAATCAAGCTTTTGATAAAATGCCTATAATTATAAGCATTTGGTAATGTTTCATTTCGCTCCTACATCAGTGGTAGTAAATAATAATAATAATAATAATAATAATAATAATAGTAGTAGTCAGTAGTCATTGAGCGAATTAATGAAGACGAGCCATAGATAGTCATTGGCCTACGTTTATAAAGTTGTTTCCATACTGTCGCTACGTTTTCACTGCAATCGTTACATACGTAGTTGTTACCAACGCAATGGGAAAGGCTTTCCGATTAGAGCAACCAAATTCTTGCACAATTTTTGAACCTGAACAATGGAATCTTGAGCAACACAGAGCAGTTTCATGTGAGCCTTTTTGACTGCAGTTTTAGTCATTATTAACTGATAGGGCCTAACTATAACTAAGTGATATCTTTAAATGACACAGTTTATCACAATTGTTGAAAAATTCTCCGAGCAGTGTTTTTCATCAGTTTGCGCAAGTCCGACACATAAACAAGGACATGAAGCTTTATTTTATTACTTACTTACTTGTTGATAAGTCATGCATTGCCCAATGAAATTTTTTTTTTCGTTACCTTTGCTCTTCATATGGCAGACACTCAGTTATCTTACATTCTATTAATAATGTTTATCGGTTGTACTTTTATGCTTTGGTACTGTAACGAGTGGGACTACTCCACGTAGTGTAGTCCTAAATCGCTACTTTAAATTTCTTGAATGTCGTTTATTATGTCCGTAATGATGTTTGGGTTTGTTCCTATCCTTATCTTTTTCTAATTTAAAGTGCCTATGTTGCCTCTTTATTACTATGTCTTTGCCTTCTTTCCTGGATAAATCTCGACAAAAGGCCTTGCTATCAAACATATCTCCATTAGTGCTACTGGCTCCAAAATTTGCCTAAAGGGATCCAACAAGTCTCGACAGATGGATCATCCTACGTCCCAGTCTACCCAGCGACACTCAGCTATTGCTGGCCTACATATAATCAAACCATGGAGGAATAATTTCCTCCATGATCAAACTCACGGGCACGATTTTATTTTATAGATGAAATTTTTCAATCGCTACCCAAAAGCTGTTTATAGGCAGATATGACGGAACAAAACGAGACATTTAACTTTCACACAGCTGCAGATATGTTGAAACTTGGGAATGGGGTAGGGGGTGGGGATGTCTAGATTGACATATCCTATCCACCTCTCTTAGTCAAACCATAGTCGGGGGTGATGAAAGTAAATTTTTAACCCTAAACTCCTGGAAATGGTGTTAAAGTTATATTCAAATTTTTCTAATTGAATTTCTATTTTTCCAACAAACAAACGATGTAAGCCTACCCACCTATCACCCCATCCCCTCCACTCCCCACCAGAGAAAATGATCTATGGTAATGCACCGTGCCCAGAACTCAACATTACCAGATGGATAGGCCTAACAAAGACTCCTAATACTATTACAGTACTAGACAAAAAATATTTTTAGAATAGCTTAAACCATGGAGAAAATAATATTTTTCCCATACTTAAACAGAGAAATTGCATAACAGATATACTATAGGCCCCTATAGGCTATAATCTGTATATTAGCTTTTATTCTGTATACTGGACAACTAGGCCTGGCAAAACAAATGTTCCTTTATTCACCCTTGAAGCTATAATAAATGACTCACCGGAGAAAATTGACATAAATATTGCTGCCGAAAACTACCGTAGTGAATAAATTTTATAAAAGTTAGTCACAGCAGGGAAGACAGCTCGTCATAATGGTCTCAAACTTGCGTGACGTATGTACTGTTGGCTACCATCACGTACTGTTAATAATAATATCCCTGTTGCCAAAATACATCTTGTTATCTTGGCTCTTTGAACGCCTCTAGTATTATATTGTTTAAATAAATAAATAATATTTATTTTTTAGCACCTGGGCCTATTATATATATATAACCAAAGAGGTAGAAAAAGATAAGAGCTTTTCCAGTTGCCGTCATCTTTCTATTTAGCAGTTTTTACTCTAAGTTGTATACCGTCATTTATAGCATAAGTTAATTCATTACGTTTTTTTCCGAAGAACACATTGGTGAACCGTTTTTGGTTTTTTTGTATTACTATTATAATTAATTTACAGGCCTATAAGTTGCTTACATTGCTTTATAGATTTTATTGAACAAAGAGTAAACAATTTGTTTTAAAAAATGGTTCAATGCCTTTCACAATGAATTACTTTATATCTGCAAAATGAAAACAACGGGATGCATCATAAGCAAGTCATTCTAAAACACGTGTGATTGCTGGAAACAATAATCTTGTCCTAAAAGACGACCAGTATTCAAAGAAGTAGTGCTCGTACGATACTTGAAATCCATTAGGAAATGTGAATTCTAGAACGTATACCGGTATCTACACTGGTTGATTAAGGAATATAAAGCATAGAGGATTTGCCTCTCTATTGTTGAAAATAGGCCTAGATATTGAACGATATAAAGTGCCTATATTCCTTTCATGGGAGCTAATTACCTTTTAACTGTTTTTCATAAATTTGTAATTTTAATCAGTAGAATTTGATGACAAAATTAAAACTGATTCTGTTTTAGTAAGCTACTACCTATCCCCGCCTCTCCCACACCAACGTTATTCAGGCTATGTTCTACCCCATCCTGATCTTCAGAAAAAAATAAAAAAAAGTCACAAACGCAAAACGCGTCCATCCAATCAGGGGCAATATAAAAATAAAAATAATTGATTAAAATGATAAAGGAAGTTAATGTCATGGAACATTCTTATCTGAGACACGTTTTTTATTTAGGCCCGAGGAAATTTCAAACATGGAAACGAGACACACAACAATATACGACACGGTCAGGAACGCCCGGAGTAAAACAGCTTAAAATGGTCCACATATCAAGCGCCCTGAGCATCTTATGTTAGATGGATATGGCGCTATTTAAGACCTGTCTCTTATACACATCTAGATGCAAGGAACAGTATTGTTGGTAATTCGTAGACGCGTCATAATCGACCTTGTGACCTTAATGGAACGCGGAAATAAAACGTCATCTTGAAAACGCTCATAACATTCAGAATCTCTCATAAATAACCTCTGATCTATGAAACGTTCTGTAGGAACAAAACATCGAATATAAAATATGTATTGTTCCCTGAAAACGACAAAAAGTAAAAATTATTTTGAAATTAACTTGCTCATTCTGCAGTAACATGCGGTATAGGCCTAAATTAATTAGTAACTTGAGCATAGACATTTTTGAATTGAAAATAATAAACACTTCCAAGTGACTGGAAGTGTATCTATCATGTTTCGTTGTAAATAAATGATTGATTGATTGACTGATTGATTGATTGATTGATTGATTATATTCAGTATCAGTACATACGAAAATACAAAGCATGACCGGGTAAACATTTTAAATGTTCATGTTGTTAACTGATGATTTTTATGATTTTTTTTTCTCGTATATTTCGAATATCGGTGCCGTAGCTTTAAATAGGCAGACTACCAAGCATAAGGACCAGTTATGATATCAATTAACATTTTGCAGACGTACCGTACGCTACGACTCACTTTATTCATTATTAAGGAATTAATTAAGATTTATGTAAATTTCTTTTGTTTCTCTATAAAAAGTCATTTCAAATTATATCTTGTTTCCCACTATTCCAGACTTAAGTTTTGACGCTAGTTGTACGCAAAGTCAAAGAGATATATAGGTAATATCTGTATGGTTAGCCTTTTCAACATTTATTTACCGGGTACTCATATAAAAGTTAACTTGATTTTGATTTAACTGTGTCACAGTTTAAGTAAGGTAGTTTTTTAGGGTTTTTTTTCCTTTTGGACGCATATTCCTTTAAGAAGTTTGTCACTGATGCAGTTTCCGAATAAAGGCCTAGATAAATAATAGGGCTATAGGGAAGTATATAAATATATTATTATTCATATTCAACATGGAGTAATGCCATTACCGGAAATAATCTAAGTTTTAAGAATAAACTAATTTAATGGTGGGGGAAGTTCACAGAAGAAGTATGTTTACTTGAAAATGATATAAAATCTTGGATGACTACTATAGGTCTTTATAAACAGATTGAAGCTATCAAAAAATAATGTAAAGTACTGAAGTGCTATCAAGAGGTACCAATCACCACTACAGTACCTTGTGTTCGGCGTTACCGCATCTTAATTTATCGTAAATCAATGTCATATTGTGGGATTTGTCACCTGATTGACTATAGCCATTTTAGGCGAATTACTTGGAAGAAAACTTAACCACTGTCTGTCATATTGTGGGCTTGTGCAATCGACATGAACAGGTCGTTTATAAAAACTAACGGAAGAAATGTAATTTTAATACAGTATACAGTACAACCATACAAATACTGCCTACTGTCATTGGACTATACGTATATATTTGACACATGGGCTTGACAGTACTCGATACAGTACTGATAAAAGCCTATACAAGGAAGTTTTGGCAAGGGCTTATATAATAAGATATAGGCCCTAAGATTTTCTTATAAAAAAAAACAAACGAATAATGTAAAACTATGTGTTGCCCATTTGATAAAAATGAAATTAATAGGCCTAATAAATTCACAGCGGGGGTAGGGTCTAGGGGTAAGCCATTATGGGGTAAAGAGTACGTAGAAAAACCGGATGTTGTTGGTTGGTTTTAACTGATCTGAGATTACGGCGATATATAATTTGAATATCAATTTTCTAACAAGGGCTTTTTTGTCTGTGCCTTTCCCCCGACGAGTCGTGGCCGACAGGAGGGGAGGGGGCTTCGCATGTCCGACTTGGGCTTAAGCCCTATTTCGCAGTTGGTGACAAACGGCGAGAAGTGAGGAAAATTTGTAGGGTTTAAACGTAACAACATAACAACCAAGTGCGGAAAACTACAAGGCATGCTACAAAAAAAACAAAAACAAAAACAAAAACAAAACAAAAAAATAATCAATACAGAAAATGTAGATCACAATGACGAGATAACACAAGGGTCCAAACAATGGAAACCGCAATCGAACTTCTTGCCACTGAGAATACAGGATACCAAGAAACTTTACATCTCCAAAGGAAATTCGTTACGTTGGCAAACCTCTAGCCAGGCTCCGGATAAATAAACCTGTTGATATGTTGAACAACCGAGATTTTCTAAGACACAAAAAGGGTGTTTGACGAAAAACACTAGTAAGCAGCAAGTGAAAATTTCCCTTTTCATTATGAAAAGTGTTTGTAGCGGGATTCGAACCTGCAGCCTCTCGCTATCAAGATGAGTATCACATTTAGACAATAGCCGCGCAACAAATGTCTCCGATGTGTTTATTGCAATTGTGAAAAATATTCCCTTCAGTGCTTTGAAAAGTCCGCTTACGACTTAAATTGAAAATTTTGCTGGAATTTTAAATCTGAAAAAGTAAACACGCACAGATTTTACAGTATATCACTAACACATGCATCTTTCAGGATGTTTTTTTCAATGGATTACAATTTATGCGGACGACAGGGAGACACCACCACCCTGAAACCATGCAGTTATTGCCATACAATTTCCTGTGATAGGAAATTCCGGTATTGTCTCGGCAGTAGCTTGTCAAAGAACGTATTGGCCAGGCCTACACAGGCTATTGAACTCCTAAAGGAGATGGAATAAACACTACATATTAAGCACACGATAACAGATACAAACGATGTATAAGTGTGACCCCATCCCGGTTATATAGGTCTTCGTATATGACACAGTAACATACGGTACGTAAGAAAAGAATTCATATTAAACTTAAAGCCAGGAGGCTCCGGAGAAAATTTAAAAAAATGATATGTTGGAGGCTGTAAAACTGAATTTTCGAAGACACAAACAAGGTGTTTAACAAAAAAAAAACAAAAAAAAAAACTCGTAAACGGTAAATGTAAATTTAAAAACTGGGAAAGTGAAAAAAAAGGTGTAGTTACGCCCCTTTCTCCCAGTTTTCATAATATTCAAAGTATCTCATAACCGTCCCCGAATTTTTCGGTAAGCACCGTTTTGTCTTAGAAAAATCAGTTGTACAAATTATCAAAAACTTTTTTCCCTCCGGAGTCTGGCTTTAAAACTGAGCTTAATATGTTAAGTATGTTTTCTTTATGATTGGAAACACATATGCATGAAGATGCAACAAAATTCAAGTCAATCCAGATGCGTTAAAAGGAGAACGCCGGGCTGCGGACGCCTAACGATATAAAATGGGAAAAAGAAAATTACAGTATATTTAAATCTGACCGACGGTGGGGCCATGAAAGTTAGTCATTCCCAGTGATGGTTGGGCAGAGGTACTGAAGACTGGTCACCTTTCAAATGTCCCTCCATGGCCTTCCTCTCTACTGTACTTTGAATCGCAGGATCTGCCACTCTCTCACTCTCCAATGTCTGCATGCAACAGCATTTCTTCTGGTAGTGGGGATGGGCAGGTGTATACCCCATTTCTCTACCATTAACCGACTTCTGGTGGAGTTCTTCGGCAGGTCTTTCTTAGCTTCCGTAGATGTTTCTCGACGCTACTCTCCGAGAATGTTTTGACTCGTTTACAGGGGTGGCGCCAGGATATGCCCAACGAGGGGTCCATGGTCCCCGACAGAGGGGCCAATGTCTCCGACGAGAGCAAAATGGGCGTGGTCGGGCGCCGCCTAAATTGGTCCAGGGGCGAAGCCCTCGAAAAATGACAATTTAATGGTTTCAAAGGCTTATTTAGTCGATTTTAGAGTCTATTAATATGTAGGAAATACATATAATTTTTTTTTCTCACAGACAAATTGTGAATTTCGTCCGCGACGCGGGGAGAGGGAAAGCTCTCCCCAACGGGGGCCCTGTCCCCTCTCCCCCACTGGTGCCATTCCTGCTCGTTTACAGACAGGTGTGTCTAGTTTGGCACTTGTTTTCTAGGTACCTGGGTCTTACGAAAAGTATACTAACTCATAGAGAAAGAACTCTAGCAAGTTTAATAGGGTCTTAAATTTTGATCAGCCTCCCAAAGGATCGAAGCTCCGGGGAAGCTATTGTATTCTTCCACTATCCATAGTCTGACCCGTGATAAACTGCATACTGTCATTGGTGGTATTGTTGATATTGGTAGTATGTAGGTAGAAGTAACCATAACCATGGAGGAATTAGTTTAGATTAAGTTTGATACGTCCTCACGTCCAATCGGTTCCAAACATTCCGGGATGAAAATGATACAGTATTTTACTTAATTTTATCATGAATTTTATCATAAATTTTATTTAATTAATTCTATGAATATTATCATAAATTTTATTACATTACTTCTTTAACTTTCTGCCTCTGTTGTTAAACTTTCTCACCCGAACGACCAGTAGACCATCGTTAGTCTGTCCGTTGGAGCCATCTAACAAACGTTCTTCAAGCAGTATGATTTGGCATAGGTCTGTTCTTCCCAAACCGTTGAAATCTGTCCTTAGTTAATCATTCGTTTGTTTGCTTGTTAAATTTTTCCATTTATTTGGTCAAACAATTTTACTACTCTCTTCATTTTACAAGCTCATTAGAGTTTCATGTATGTCCTTTTCATCTTTTATCCTATTTTAAACATTTTTTAATAGTTTTATTTGTAAATTGACATTGATTTGATGATGAATAAATGAATTGAATTGAAAACTAAAGTGAAAAAGGAGTAATCCAAGTTGTCCACGTTTATCCACTGATGCTATTCCTTGTGGTCTGTATATTGATTTACATACTCAAAACTATTAAAAACAAACGAATAAGTTTATTTTAATCATACACGGATCGAAATGATTTACGGATAATCTACAAAAATGCTTAAATTTACTACCAAAAATTAAATGGTGTGTAGATAGGAACTTTATAAAGTACTGATTCTATTCCAGCCGTGCTACTGGTCTGTCTAATGACTTGCATACTCAAAAAACACGAACAAAAACAAAAAATGAAAATAAACAAATAAGTTTATTTCAACCATTCACCAATCGACATGATTTACTACTACGAAAATACTTAAATTTACTGGCAGAAATGAAAGGTTGTGTAAACAGGAGCTGTAGCTTGCTGGTTAAGATGCTTACCTTCTAATCCCAGGTGATTTTATAAGTGAGCTTTCGATTGCACAACGGTAGGGCGTAGAACGTAATGACGTCACTAAAAGTCATTGCGCATGCGAGAACGTTAAGGACACCTCGCCGAGTAGATTCCTGAAAGCAATTTGGCCAAATCTATGTATGCAGAGAACGTAGGACGCCATGTAGGACGGTCACGCATGAGTGATTCCGTTCTAGCGTCGTCGCACAAATCGAAAGCTCCCTAATACCGCATTAATTGACCTTTCAAGAGTGTCAATCAAACTTAACAACTGACAAATCACAACACGGCTAGGAATACGTGCGTTTCCAATAAGCACACATATTTGTCCCACAAGCGCAGGTGTTTGCTTATGTTTTAACGCTGTCGTTTTGTGGACTTTAGCAACAATATTCAAAGGCGGGGCTTAGCGTACATAAGTACTGATACCTATAGGCTATGTTCTCACACGGCTGCTAACGGTTAGCAGGATCCGGATCCTCTAACCGTTAGCTGCCGTGCGTCCATCCGAGAAAATCCTGATCTGGATGCCAAAATATGATGATTGAATCACTGGCCAATAAGAAACTGGAAATTATAAACGCGTACATGTGATTGGTTGATGATAGAAACATGCTCAACTTGCTAACCGATAGCGCTTGCTAACCGTTAGCGCTAACCGATCGGGCATTCTCACGAAGGTGCTAACAGTTAGCTCCTGATACTAGGGCTCTCGTGAGAACCAGGCTACAGCCGTCATTTTGTAGACCTTAGCAATAATATCCAAGGGGCGGAGCTAAGTACTGATACCTATAAACTGCTTGGTGAAGCACAATCATAGAGAAATTACTTTCTCTATGGTACAACTGCCTTGCCCAAGGACACAATGCAGCAACCCCAACCAATCGCATTCCTAAGCCTTGCCGCATGCTACAAGAAAAAAAATAATTAAAACAATATTTTTGTTATGGTATTACTGATCCTCGATAAGATCATTTATTTTCAATTTCTATCACGGCGATCATGACAGTAAAAGAAAAAATATCACATTTCCTTAAATATACAACTTCCAATTTGTTGGTGCACCGATGTATGCATGTTATTTAGCGTCTTTAATGTTTTATTTACTGTACTCGGAATAAATCTAATTAATCAATCGATCATTGTAAATTTCATCAATATTTAATCGTGTACAGTAATATAGGCCTACACCATGTCCGTCCAAAGTAAATGGGAAGGCATTGTATATTAAGAATACTGTACATTCAACATACTGTTAATATTTTCAGAATTATTTACTGTGGAAGTAAAAATTTTAAAAAATGAATTCATAATATTATTAAAGCTCTTCTGGACTACTAGTTAATAAGAAAAATTAATATCATCCCACACACCTCTCCGTAAAAATTAGATGGCTAAGGAAAGTTGTCCAATTCATTTTAAAAACACACTTACTTACCACTGGTGTTCAATACTCTATTCCAAAACTCACTCAGTTCTTTCTTATTCAATTCCCACACACAAATGTGCACATATACGCATTAAAAATTTACACTATTCACAAATCCACCTTTCTTATTCAAGTGGATAGTCACACAAATCTCACACTATAAACACAGTCACCGCTTTTCAGTCAACTGTCTCATACGCATGCACACACACCCTCACCCACTCACCCATACAAACACCCACAAACATTTATTCAATCATTCACTCTCACTTAGCAGTTACCTACACATATTAACTGTGTTCATGTTTTTTTTTCACCATTTAGGTATTTTGTACCTCCTTGGTTTACTTACAAACCTCAATGAATATAAAAGACATTGTTCTCATAAATCCTAAACCAAACATGTTTCAGCAAAACATCTTCAAAGTTTTCTCTCATTGCAGAAAGAGCCTCCCCACCCCCCACCACTTCTTAACCACCTGACATTACAAATACTCCAGGGTTAAAACAAAGAAGAAAAAATAAGGTAATGGCATTAGAGCTTCAGTAGCGATGATGATGATGATGGTGATGATGATGGTGGTGATGAGGACGCGGTGAATGAGATCGAGATCGGGAACGCCGTCTTGGTGGTGGAGACCCTCTTGAATCACGATACCCTAAGAAAAAGTAATAGAAAAATTGTTATATTGTGATCAAAAGTGAGAATCAGTTATGGTGACTGCCTTACCATTTATAGATTAAGGATTCTAAGATGTACTAGCATTTTTTCATAGATCTAAAACTTTCCTTAAAATTAAATGTTGAATTTTACTTATTTAACAGGATTAAGTAAGATAATAGCTTCCAAAATATCCTTGAATTTTCTGCCAGCCAATTTAAGGGTTTATACCATAAAAATCTTTTGCTAGGCCTACAAAATTACTTCATTTCAAATTCTCAAAACAAAATATCAAGTTAGCAAGTATCTTCATTAGATTGCTAAGCACCCCGAAAACAAAATTTTCAAGCCAAACCTTGTGGGGAAGGGTTTGGAGAGGGGCAGGGTTTGGAGCCAGTGTTATCCTGCTACAGAGGGAAAATGTGAAACTTATGTAACCTTCAGAGTTAACTTAGAATGTTTGAATGTAAAAACTATTAAATAATTTATAGAGAAATATTACAAATTAATAAAATTGATGCTTCAGAAGATGCTATAAAAACAATTGGTGAATGTAAACCAGATTGTCATAACCATCTGTCAACTGGAGGTGCCTAATGATGTCTTATTTCATCAATGAGTATCAAAGCTTATCCGTTAATTCCCATACAATTGTCAGTTCCCGTGCCAGACCACTTATTCCCTCTTCCACCATTGGACAAATCCTGACACCACCACTGTTGACAATATCTATTTCTATATTAACATATAGATTATCATTAGCTTTACTTACTTCTACGCCTCTCATACGAGTCATCAGGAGAATCCCGCAAGTTATGACCGTGTTCCTCCTCCCATTCCTTTTCCCGTCGTTCACGTTCGATTCGCCGCATCTGCCTAGCACGTTCCCTTAAATCATCTTCACGGTTCTTCAGAATAAAATCAAAGACACAATATATCAAAGCATACACATACTACCAGACAAAAGTTTAAGAATTTGATATGAGCACAAGATATACCAAGTGCATAAGATACTTCAGTTCTGTCTGGGTCGCTTGAGCAAAAAAGCATTGCACAGGGAATAACGACTGCTAACTAGGGCGGTTATTTTGTACATCTCTGATTCAATGCAAACAGGAGCCCACATTTCTCCTGCTCCACTTTTTTCACTACTGGTCTTTCTTGGTTCTTGGTGTGGTAATACCTATACAGTATTACAATACTGAGATCAGCTAAACTAGGACGATTGTGCTAGTGTGATGTCTGCAGCCAGTCTGACAAAATTAATAAAGTGCTTAAAAATAAATTAAACTGCTCTATTCTAATAGAATCATTATGTAGATACATAATACCGGTAACTCTTGCCCAGTTACCTCTGTAGTTGTGGTACCAACGGGGGTCAGAGTGTAATTTTACCTATTTCAGACAAGCATGCCATCCAAAAAAAGAAAAGAAAAAAAAATATATAAATTATATAAGTTATTCTGATTGCAGTTCCAAGATATTGTGGCCTAAAACCTTAATTTTTGCAAACCTAAACCCTAAATTCTCTCCAGGGAAATGGGATTTTCCACTTCAACTCACTTTGGATTTGACCAGAGGCCCTAAGCGGTCCCTGGGTGGTTTGGACTCCCTGTCGGGCTTGATACACTCTATTCACAAACCTTTAAAGTCATCATTGCTAATATCAGATAAACAATATGATGACAGCTAGGTTATTTACCTAGAAAGTAGGTTATTTTAAATAACAAACGTCACCCTAACAGAATGATGCATGGTTTCCTGTTATAAACTGTCTGCTTGATTAAAAAAAAAACATTTAAAAATATAATTCAATATTTGAATTGTATACTTAAGTATGAATCAGAGGGTGAATTGTCATGCTAGTAGTACAGCTTGCACTCCAAGTCCACCTTCGGGACCTGAAAATGTGGGGCTGGTGGTAGTGGGGTGCGGTTTCCAATTAGAGGGTTAGGTTTGCATTGAAAGATTGAAGATTGTTAGTTGGTTCTTTGAAAAAGTGGCCTTGAATCAGAGAGGTCCCTATTGGGGAATCGAATCACCAAGACAATTATTATATTATGTTATTACAGTATATCACAAGACGAAGATCAAAATAATATACCATAGGAATGTAGCAAATACATTCAATTTCCCATTCTTGATTTAACGCTCGGCTAAATCTAGGGTGGGTTACGAGTACATGACAATTTAAAAGTACACCTAAACTGGTGACATCATACACCAAAAACTGCATATTCTTAGGTGGCATGTTCTCAAGATAGACGAAAGCTCTTTAATAACAGACCATAGCATAATTGTCAGAAGATAAAATAACATTAACTTACAATTTGAGCTTGTAGTTTTTCCTCTTTCCTTATGACTTCCTTCTTTTTATCTACTTTATCTGTGAAGGAAATGGTGGAAAATTCAAACATGTTGTTATTTCTACATAATTTCCTTTAACAAATCTACCACAACTTTGTTTCAGGAAACCGGTTCCATGTCCTTTTAACCCCATAATTTATAACGACAATCATTTCGCAAATTTGTCTTTAAAGCGAGGGTTGCTCACTTTCCCACACACGCTATTGCCTAGCTAATCACCAGATGGCAGAGCTTAGGATGATATAATTTAAATATGCATGCAATGTTTTACAACATTAATAACTGTGAACATGTTACAATGTAAAAATGTCACCGTCTCCTTAATTACAGACTACATACAGAATAATAGCTAATCATAAAATGGGAAGCTCAGAATGGTTATAAGTAAAACTGCAGTAAGCAAGTATTTTAGTTATAATTGTAAATCTGTGTCACTGTCACTTTAAACAATCATTATCAATCGATTTACCTGTTCAACGATCAATGAAGCACATTGATGATGATTGATTAAAGGGACAATGACACATGTTTACAATTGTGTCCCTATGTGTCACTGTCACTTTAACCAGTCATTATCAATCATATTTGCATATTAAACTACCACTGAAACGGATTGATAATGATTGATTAAAGGGACAGCGACACATATCTGCAATTTTGTCACTGTGTGTCAATGTCCACAGATTTAAATGTTCAACTGGCACTGAAACAGATTGATAAAGGTTGATTAAAGGGACAGTGACACATGTTTAAATTGTGTCACTGTCCCTTTAAACAATCATTATCAATTGATTTGCATATTAACTAACACTGAATTATGCATGTAGGTTCTATGACTGTCATATGGGGCACAGTCCCTTTAAACTAGAGACATTATTAGAGAATACATTAACTTGCACAGAAGTATGCAAGCAGGTTTTAGGAGAGTTTTAATTGTCAAGACATGGCACTCTCCCTTCAAAGTGGAAACATTATGTAAGACTACATTAAGTATCATTGACACCCATTGGCTGAATAGCTCAGGATGTTCGCATTTTTAACTAGCATTTCAACATGTATATAGGTTTTAGGATTTATAATTGTGAAAATGCAACACTGTCCCTTTAAACTGTCTGGTATAAATTTGAATGTTATTGGGCAGATCCCGGATTGGATATATGCTCAACTAGCATTGCTAATAAATGGGTTTTAAGAACATGTGGTATCGCTATATGTCTCACTATGGTTTTGCTTTTTAAATTTGGTTGCAGGGGTGCACCTATGAAAGCCAAAGGTCTATAGGTGTGTAGGCACCTCTGCAAGAAAAGAATAGTTGTGGGGTCTGAAGTATTCAATAATGTTAATGGTGAATTTCCTTATAATTTTGATAGTTTAGAGGCTGTCTCTTATACACATCTAGATGTGTATAAGAGACAGATCTAAAACTTTCCTTAAAATTAAATGTTGAATTTTACTTATTTAACAGGATTAAGTAAGATAATAGCTTCCAAAATATCCTTGAATTTTCTATTATATAACATTATTTAAACTAAAGATTTGTTGGGGAATGTTCAGTCTGATAAATATTATTTCTGATTATTATTATTATCATCAGGGGTCCTAAGTTGGATGAAGTCATTTCCGGAAAATCTGCAGTAGTGGGTCGAAGGGTGGGGTGGGGGAAGGGAGGGACTTTCACAGATTGTGGGTCTAGACTACATCAGCCCCACCATGGTTGGAGCCAAGGTAAGAAAATTTATGATATGGCACTTCTAGATGGTCGGAAGTGGTCCTCTCAGACTTCCTGGTTAATGAGCTTTCTCACATTTAATTTTATTTTGTGTACATAGTGACGCCCATCGGCACTGACTTCCTTGAGAAAACTGATAATAAAGCAGTGAAAACAGCAGTGAGATGGGTTAACTTCCGGGAGATTATTGATTGTTTGCGGGAGTGGGGGAGGCCGTACCGATTTCCGGGAGACTCCGCGAGTTCCGGAAGACTTAGGACCCCTGTTATTATTATTATAAATATTGCTACTACTGTATATTTTATTTTTATAATTACTATTCTAATTGAAGGTCGATAGCTGTTACTACAAAAGCTATCACCTTCATGTTTATAATCATCATTTATTCATTATGTTAGGATCAATTGAGATTACACCTGAGGGACTTGTCATGATTGCAGTGACTGCAGAAATGATTATAAAGACCAAATGCCGTGATTCCCTCTCTGTAAGCATTAGCATATTCCATTATCATTAGTTTTTATTATATTACCTAGTGGTTATTCCTTTTCCATCTGTTTAGTGCAACGACAGTTGACCACTTATTTTTGTTGGGCTTAAATTAAGCCCACGACATTCCACCTTTCTTGCTCATTATCTCTAAGTTTATTGATGAAATTTTAATATATAAACAAAATCAAATTTGTGGTAAGTTAGGTGGGAGCGGTTTCATGCAGCGTTTGTAGTTCTGCTTCTCAACCTTGAGGTCAAAGGTTCGATCCCTCAAAATGCATTTTGCTTGTGTCTGTAAATGGTGAATTTCCTTATAATTTTGATAGTTTAGAGGTGTGGTTTGGTTTATCAGAGGCGAGATCTTTCAAAATTGGGGGGGGGGGGGGGGGGGGGGAGGGGGGGAAAGAGGGGCTTCAGAAATAAGATCTATCTGGTTACAAGTCAGGATCTACTATGTAGCAAAGAATTATTATATAACATTATGCATCGTTTTAAACTAATGATTTGCTGGGGAATGTTCAGTCTGATAAATATTATTTCTGATTATTATTATTATTATTATCAGGGGTCCTAAGTTGGATGAAGTCATTTTCGGGAAATCTGCAGTGGTGGGTCGAAGGGTGGGGTGGGGGCAGGGAAGGACTTCCACAGATTGTGGGTCTAGACTACATCAGCCCCACCGTGGTTGGAGCCAAGGTAAGAAAATTTATGATATGGCACTTCTAGATGGTCGGAAGTGGTCCTCTCAGACTTCCTGGTTAATGAGCTTTCTCACATTTAATTTTATTTTGTGTACATAGTGACGCCCATCGGCACTGACTTCCTTGAGAAAACTGATAATAAAGCAGTGAAAACAGCAGTGAGATGGGTTAACTTCCGGGAGATTATTGATTGTTTGCGGGAGTGGGGGAGGCCGTACCGATTTCCGGGAGACTCCGCGAGTTCCGGAAGACTTAGGACCCCTGTTATTATTATTATAAATATTGCTACTACTGTATATTTTATTTTTATAATTACTATTCTAATTGAAGGTCGATAGCTGTTACTACAAAAGCTATCACCTTCATGTTTATAATCATCATTTATTCATTATGTTAGGATCAATTGAGATTACACCTGAGGGACTTGTCATGATTGCAGTGACTGCAGAAATGATTATAAAGACCAAATGCCGTGATTCCCTCTCTGTAAGCATTAGCATATTCCATTATCATTAGTTTTTATTATATTACCTAGTGGTTATTTCTTTTTCATCTGTTTAGTGCAACGACAGTTGACCACTTATTTTTGTTGGGCTTAAATTAAGCCCACAACATTCCACCTTTCTTGCTCATTAGCTCTAAGTTTATTGATGAAATTTTAATATATAAACAAAATCAAATTTGTGGTAAGTTAGGTGGGAGCGGTTTCATGCAGCGGTTGTAGTTCTGCTTCTTAACCTTGCGGTCAAAGGTTCGATCCCTCGCTATTCATTTTGCTTGTGTCCTTTAGGCAAGGAACCATACCTACATTTCTCTCACCATCCAAGAGTACAAGTGGGTACCTGGTAGGTTCAAGCAAAAAATGCGCTGATTACAGCTGCAACATTTTGGAATTTTCCCCAGGGAGCTGAGTATGTCCCATATGTGCTTAATCCAATGATCGGGGGAAATAATGTGAAGGGCTTAGAGGCCTTGCTGGCATGAAGTGCTACACAAGTCTCACATATTATTATTAAACTTACGTTGTTTATTAAGAGCCCTCTGCATCATCATCTTCATTTTATCCTTCGCTGTAAGTTTTGTCTGGGAAAAAAGTATTAAAATCAGCAATAAAATATCAATGTTTTGTTATAAAAATGAATGCAAAAAATATTGGTATATTATGGTTAGGCATAGACTTAATTATATTATATGTACAGTAGTAGATATTAAAAAGAAATTATATTTTATTTCATAAAGGTGAATGTCCAACTTGCTGACCAAATATCGCTCAAAAAACAATTTTTACATGGATACAAGAGTGTTTATGGTAAATTGAGAACAAAAATTGATTGGCAGCCCTTTCATTTCCCCATTAAATTTTCTGAAGATACACCATCTACTGTCTGTTTAAGTTGTAATAATATACAAAATATTTGCTGTAAAAAAAAAATGTTATTAATGGTAACAAACTGCATATGCTGGAAAAAAAGTTACTGACATAAGATGACTGACTTAATTAATTTGTACATATCCAAATATACTTAATTCAATGTTAGCCTAATGATTTAATTTTCTTGTTGAAACTAGATTTCCTTCCCTCAAAACTAAAACAGCCTCTCTTTTTAAGCTTATTTGAGGCTTAGTTTATAATGTTATTCTGGGAGCTGTTGGAAAAAGAGTACTTTCATAATCCCAGATAATATAAATAATAAATATAATTTATCATGCATATTTGAATCAACTACTTGTATTATAATATATTAATAAAAAATAATAATAGCAATTAATATTTCTAAAACTGCAGATTGCACACACGTTAACTTGGGGAAACTGTATTTATCACTCAGGCATGATATTTTACCCTAAAATGTATTTTAAAGCTAGGCTCCGTAGGAAAAGTGTTTTTTTTTTAACATGTTGTATAACTGATTTTACTAAGACATAAAAAGCATATTTCACAACAAAATTTCGAAAGATACAGGTTTTTGAATATTTAAAGACTGTTGGAAAAAGGTTGAAAAAAATGGTGGTTACGCCCCCCCTTCTTACCCGAGTTTTAAAATATTCAAAATTCTGTATGTGATTAACCGCTTATGAGTTTTTCGTTAAATATGCTTTTTGTGTCAGTTGTACAACATATCAAAAGAAGATTTTCCTCCGAAGCCTGGTTTTAAAAATTTGAGGGCCTGGGTCATGGGTAAAGTGCACTAGTGAGTAGGATACACCAAAGTGTATACCCACTGTGTATATTTATGCTATCTTCATATCAAGGAGCTGTTTATTAGACCATGGTTTACAAAACTATTTCTAGCAATTAAATCTAATTTCTGAACAGTGGGATACTTTTTTTATGCCATGTCTGATAATAAATTAATAACAAATTATTGACATCAAGTTCAGCTAACTAAGGTTAGAAATGTGCAATATTTAATACTATTGTAAAACCAATTTCAGGATCTTCAAGTTAATGTTATTCATGATAATGGGTCTAAGTCACAGCACAAACCTTCTATAGTTTGTTTATCATTTCATTTCAAGTAAAAAAAAGGTTGATAAATATTATGTAGCTGTAGATAATTAATAATGATATCATTAACTTAATATCTACATGTAAATAAAAAAGAATAACAACATTTAGCAATACTGACTTTGGCCGCAGAACCAGTTGGACTAGTGGTTTTTGGTGTCTCTCTGAAAAGTAAGCAAAATGATTATTGAAACATATATAATGACCAAGAAACAGGTCTGCCTACAACAAAGGTAAACATTTCTTTATACTATTATATGCCTGTGCTGCATTCGTGTTATACTCACCTCTATATTCATACATACATATTATATATGACA